GGATCTATTCTACTCTTTAAAAGTTTGTGGTTCTGGTTGTCAAGTATTTCCTACCTTACAAATTTCCAAGGTACGCAGGTATGGATATACCTTTTTGAAAGATAATTCAATGTACTTAAAATACATTTTGAGAATTCCTTTAAGATTTCTGTCACTTTTTGTGAAGTCAGATGGGGTGGTGCTACTCCACCCTGAGCTGTTGCTTGGCTTCCATGAAGAGAAAAAAAATTAAAGGTGGTGCTGGCATACAACTCAGGTAGACTTTTTGAATGCATGTGAAGACGCATATATGTGCACTTAAATGTTTAAATTGAAAATCTGCCAAAATCAACGTAGAGGGTTACTTTTTTAATCTGCAGCTTCAGTTGCAGTTAGCCTGTGCTGTTGTCTGTATTGGTCAGTTTTAAATTTCTTTATCACAGATTGTGTCTAGTTAAAGTTTTGCTTTCCTGCCTTTAATTTGATGTTTAATTAGAACTGTTGCTACCGTTGCTGAATGTTGGGGTTTTAAAGAACAGAGAGAAGATACTAATTTAAGTTGGAGCCAGGCATAGCAGGTTCTTAGATTTGTTACTGATTTTTTTTTTTTTCCCCATTATATCAGTTCTGGCTGCAGCTGCTTCTGTACCACCACTGGCAACACAGTGCTTCCAGCTTTCCAACATGTTTAATCCTCAAACGTAAGTGAAGTGTCATTGTCTGCTTCTGTTTAGCACTTGTTGATGACTTTAACATCTGAGAAAGGAATGGAAATGTTGCAGATAGGTTGTGGTTTTGGTTTTTTTTTTTATGGGTTTCAGGGTGAGTTTTGTCCAAAAAATAACAATTGTATCTCTGTCCTGTTCTTCCTCCACCCCCTACAGTGAGGAAGAAGCTGGCTGGGATACAGAAATTAAAGACGATGTGATTGAGGAATGTAACAAACATGGAGGAGTTATCCACATTTATGTGGACAAAAACTCAGCTCAGGTATGCCTGGTTCCAGGGAGACAATGAACACCTTTCAGTTCTGTTGCTTTGTACTGTATAGAGGGAGCACTACAAATGTATCATGGGTTTTTCCTAACCTGAATCTAAATGTGTTGAGGTTACTTTGCAGTTTTTGTGGGTTGTAGGTGGTTCCCTCCTGTTTGGAGTCAGTGTGTGTATCAAATGCGGGTGTGAGAGCAGTTCTCATAGAATCGTAGAGTGGCTTGGCTTGGAAGAGCCCTTAAAGATCAGCCAGTTCCACCCCCCTGCCATAGGCAGGGACACCTCCCCCTAGAGCAAGTTGTGCAAGGCCCCATCCAACCTGGCCTTGAACACCTCAATTGATGGAGCAGCCACAGCTTCCCTGGGCAACCAGAGCCCGTGTCTCACCACCCACACAGTGAAGAACTTCTTCCTAATTTCTGATCAGTATCTGTTCTCCTCCAGTTTGAAGCCATTACCCCTCGTCCTGTCAGTGCAAGACCTTTTGGTGCTTGTTGTGTAGCCCTCTGGTGCTGTAGTGTGTTTTTGCAGATTGAGATAGCTGAAGTCACTGTGGAAATACGGACTGGAGAGTAGCTGCCTCTTCAGTTGTGGCATTGGACATTTCCTCTAAGCTGTTTTTCCCAGAAACAAGGGACTGGCACCTTCCTCTGCTTCTAGAGAATGCAGGCTTTAGCACAAAGGACATCCTGCTCCCACAGACTTCAGGTCGTGGAATTGCAGAATGGTTTGGGTTGAAAGGGACCTTAAAGACCATACAGTTCTAACCCTCTGCTGTGGACAGAGATATCGCCCAGTAGACCACATGGCCCCATCCAGCCTGGCCTTGAGCATGTCTGCACATGCTCTGGGCAGCCTGTGCCAGTGTCTCACCACCCTCATGGTGAAAACATCTAATCTAAATCTGCTCTTTCTCAGTTTAAAACTGTTACCCCTTGTTCTGTGAGATGTGAAGTTAAATGTGTGTATGTTTCCATGCTTGGAAAAAGTTGTGTTCACCACTAATGTTAAAAGTCTCACAGTGGACAATAGCAGCACCTAGAGTTATAACAGGGATGAGAAGAAAACGAGCTGCTGGTGTTTGAGGGACTCTCAGCCTGCATCTTAAAAAGGTGAATACATTTTTCTTCTGTGTTCACTTGGTTCACACAGTCCCTGGACTGGTCATTTCTTCAGAATATAAACTGTAGAAGGTCTGGAAAGAGATTTGGCCTTCTTGAACCCCTTTCTATAGAGAACTTACAGCCCAAGCTGAAGTACAGTTTACAAATGCTCTTGTAGTCAGACTAGTTTATAACCATCAGGCCTCAAAAGTGTCCTGTCGTATCCTGTGCTGTTCTGTGTGGCTGAAACCTACACTGCTGTCCCTGCCAGTATTGCTTAAATGGGATTGTTCTGCCCTAGAAATGTGCTCACAAATCTATGTTAACATGGTGCTGCTTCTACAGAAGACTGGTGTCATGTGAAACAGTTTCATGTGGATGAGTGAGGCATTAGGTTGGAGAGGAACTGCAGCCTAGTGCATAAAACCAACAATCTCTCCTTGTTTTTGGCTCGGTTGGACTACTGGTCTGATGGGAGAGAGAAATCCTTCCCACAGTAGATTAGTCTATTACTGTCTTAGAGATAAGTGTCCTTTGACAGATGAGGGGGAAAAAAACCCACCACCCCAAACCCTGAAAAAGCAACAGCCTTCAACATACACCTCATAGGTTCTGAGTACATAGAGCTACAAGTCTGGCTCACACTAGCAGGTGGATTTAAAAAGAAAAGCTACAGCTACTGCATCATGAGTGAGCTGTTTTTTACCTGAATCCATTTTGTCACAGGAGTGCAGATATCAAATGCCCATTATTTAAAAATACTGTATGTGAACATGTGCTGTTCTGTTCTCCAAGCTTAGGTTCTGACCATGTTAAATTCCAGGTATTGTCATCTCCCATCTTTTTGGGGCTCTTTGCGAGCCAGCCAGACTTGTGAGGCTAAGGGCTGTTGATAGTCAGCCATGAAGATGTGATCTCGTGTGGGTGAAGACTGCACTGCCAACTGCATGTGCTGTCCTGTGTACCACACAGTGTCGTGTTGAAAACTGAAGCTCTATGTTGCTACATCTCATTTCAAGGTTTCGGGTGGCTTGGGTGCCTCTGCAGGGGGAGGCTGAGGGTGGAACAGTGCATGGGGACTGCTTAGTGCTGTGAACGTCAGCGCCCAACCTCCAGTGTAGCCCCTGAGAAGGAATGAGTTGCATCACAGTGAGAGGAGTTAGTGCAGGCTGGCAAAGGCTGCTGGAGGGGAGGCTGGATTCTGGTTCTTAATACAGCCTTTCTTTATAAAATCTGTTTTGGCTAGAATCTGATGTGGTTCAAGAATGGTGGGAGCGTTCTGTTGTGTGTTTTTTCTGGCTGCCTGCTTAACAGCTGTGGGCAGCATCTGTAGCGCTTGCAGTTGTGGAATGTGAACATGGCAGTACTTGGAGCCTGGTTCAGTGCTTGATCTGCAGGTAGAAAACGTGAGGTGTCTGGCAGAGTTAAAGGACCAGTCTGTCGTGCACATCGGGTGTCATCTGAGGCTCTTCATACCCTGCTGTGGTGGTCTTCTTCCCCCTCATCTCTGTCCTTGTTCACGTAAAGACAGACATGCTGAAGGTCATGTAGCAGAACTTGTACAGTACCAGTCTTCCTGGAAGTGCTGAACATCCTTCCTGCCCCAAGGGATGGGGAGTGCTTATCCCCCTGGACAGCCAGACTGGCACTGCATGTCTGGCCAGGCCTTTGGCTGAGGCTGGCGATTTACAGGACTCAGTGGCCAGCCTCAGTGGAGGTGCCCAGATCCAGGTGCTCTGGTGGCGTGCGTGGGATGTGTAATCTGGAGCCATTAGATCCTCTCTTTGAAGGGTTAGGAGCAGGCAAGGAACCCGTCACTTGTTGACTCCAGCTCAAGCTCAGTTTGTCTGCTTTGCACGCTCCTGTGAGGGC